ATCACTGGTATTGGCCTGTGGGTTAACTTTGGGAAGTCATGTTCCTTTTCCTACACACATATTCCCCACCTCTAAAACAAGGATCACCTTCTTTGTAAAAGGTTTTAAGATCTCTCTATGGAAGAGTAGAGTGTAGTATTAAGAGCTTAAAGCCTGTTGCTCCGCTGGCTGAAAGCTATCCATGTTGGTGAAGCTACCACCATTTCCTCAGCTAAGGAGATGGTCTGCTGGTGTCCTCTTTGCTTTAAGCAGAATGAAGCTAATTCCTGTCCAAATGCCAACCGTGCCATCTAGTGGCAGTCACAAAATGCTGTCCCTGATCATGATCCTGCAAGGATGGGATGGCATCTCAGGGAAGGAGGGCTTTGGTGCCTGCCCTGGTGCCACCTGTGAAAGCAGGCAGATCGTTATATGAAGGCTTTGCTGAAGATGCAACATGTTAGGTGATACCCCAGGGAAGTGGTGGAGTCCCCATCCCTGGAGGTGTTCAAAAAATGTGTAGACACGGCACTTCAGGACATGGTTTAGTGGGCACGGTGGTGTTGGGTTGTCAGTTGGACTTTATGATCTTGAAGGTCTTTTCCAACCTTAATGATTCTGTGATTCTACATTCCCACCTTCCTTCCCTCTGGGTTTCCTGACTGCAGCAGGTCACAGCAACAAGGAATTGTGTTGGAGGATCTGCCCTTCTAATGCAGCTCCTCCTGGGTGGGAAGGGGATGGCCTGAGCTGGCCAGCTCCCGTGAAGCCATGGGGTGGGAAGTCCCAAATACATAAGCAGTATCTCGTGCAGCTGAACTGCAGAACTTCTTGTTGCCAGAAGCTGCTGAGATTAAAAGTGAAAATGTGTTTAAAAAAATTCTGGTGGCTGTTATCACCATGACACAGATTCAGCTGAGAATCTGAGAGTCCCCAAACCTCTGACTGCCAGAAGATGGGAGGCTGCAGGTGACACACATCCATTTCCTCAGGCCCCTTGGGAAGCACCTATGGCCACTGCAAGGTAAGAAATTTGTTCTGACCCACTACAGCAGTTTTTACCCTTCTCAGCTGGCCAGACTTGCTCAGCAAAGCACAAAGAAGGGTGTTTTAGAACTATAACATCAGCCTCCCTGAAAACCCACGGCTGAGGTTTGAGCAGTCAGGTATGGAAAGGAGCCACTGGGCTCTTCTAGAATTACAGAATCACAGACTGGTTTGGGTGGGAAGGGACCTTTCCAGGCCATCTAGTCCAACCCCCTGCAGTGAGCAAGGACATCTGTAACCAGATCAGGTTGCTCGGAGCTCCATCCAACCTGACCTTGAATGTTTCCAGGGATGGGGCTTCTACCACCTCTCTGGGCAACCTGGGCCAGTGTCTCACCACCCTCATCCTAAACGATTTCTTCACTATATCTAGTCTAAACCTCCCCTGTTCTAGTTTAAAACCATTTCCCCTTGTCCTATCACTACTGCTAGAAAGTCTGTGCCCATCTTTCTTATAGCCCCTCTTCAAGTATTGAAAGGCCACAATAAGATCTTCTTTCTCTTCTCCAGGCTGAACAGCCTCAACTCTCTCAGCCTGTCCTCACAGCAGAGCTGTTCCATCCCTCTGATCATTTTTGTGGTCTCCTCTGGAACTGCTTCAGCAGGTCCATGTCTTTCTTGTGCTGAGACCCCATTCAATGAACAGTCATAAATGGCATAGTTAGTCCAAGTCCAGGAACACAAACAGCAGCTGGTTTTAGAAAAGCAAAACAGATCTGACTGTCCACCCTTGGCATAACATCCTAATACCATCCCAGATTTGATCTGAGAAGGTGAGAAAACAAGAATAGAGCAAAGAGTGATGGGGAGTGGCTCTACTTGGTGTGTGTCTGGACATACCCAGTGTCTTTCAACAGCGTTGCCTCAGTTGTCAGAACAAACTGGTGGACAGTCCCATAGACAAAAGCTGCCTCCATCACAGCTCTGTGCTCTGGAAAGAGAAAGGCAAGACAAACTCATCTCAGATCCTTCCAGATCTCCCTCTTCATCCTTCCCAGTTGTAAATACCAATGCCCAGGCTTTCAGAAACTCTCAGGAAAAAGTCACAGCTGTCTGAAGACACTTTATGAAGGTAACTGAGTAGCTGGAGCTGAACCCAGTTGCTGATCCCCAGTAAAGGTGTATGTGAACCCATTCCACTGGATAACCAGAGATCTGTCAATGGGCTTATTTATTAAGACAGCAGCCACTGCCTTGCTGTCCCTCCCAAATCCACCTCTGAAAGTTTGTGTGCTCCTAGCAAAACTTTTCTGGTGCAACTGATCTCTTTGGAAACACAGCAAGACAAAAAGAGGTGGAGAACTTGCACCTGGGTGGCCCTTTCAGGTTTCCTTGATCCTTCATTTACAGGATTTTGGGTCAGAAACCCACCTCCCTTCCACCTTAGTAAAAAAAAGCCCTGGGAGGAGAGCAAAGATGAAAAGCTGAGTGTGAATACCTGCTGTCCCAGTAGCTGGTACATAGGCAAAGACCATGTTGGATCTCCCTTTCAATGCATTTTCAATGTTCTGAAGATCCATCAGTGTTTCAACGTATTTAACTTCATTAAAGAGCAAGGCACTGAGGAGGCAGAAAAAAACTCGTTAGCAACTTTTCTTTGAAGAGCAAATTTGCAGCCACATAATTGTCATGGGAAAAATAAGGTAAAATTCCAGCTTCTTGCTGGCAGATTGAAAGTTCACAGTGAAATACAGCTGCCCAGATGTGAGCTGGTGAGTCATCTCAACAGCACAGATTTACCAGGGTCAAACCACACCAAAGAGAGAAGCAGCTTTCTGACTCTGCAAGAAGAGGGGTTTGTATTTATGCAATAATTTACATGGACAAGTGAAAATGGAAAGGGAAGGATTTCACAGAGATGTTTCTGGTCCATACTTACAATAACACGTTAGCAACGATGGAGTTCACGTCAAACAAGGCATCGGTGGGAAACTCTCTGATCAGCATGTTACCTCTAGGGAGGGAAGAAAGAGTATCACCAAAGAGACTATGCAAAATTAGCGACGTGTACTGATTTCATTTGCACTCTGATGAATACTTTCAGGTATCTGCTGGCAGGAGTGGCTGGAAAGAAAATGTCAGGATTGAATTTGGGGATTTTGGAGGATGAGGTGTCCAGGCAATGCTGTTTTAGTAGAAGTCACCTCTCTCACTGCTGCTTCCCTCAGCTTCTGGGAACTGGTGATGAGAAGCTGAGCACAGACTCAGGTGGGGAAGGACTTTTCATAAGGGCAGTTAATAACAAAACAAGGGGAAATGGGTTTAAGCTGAAAGAGGGGAGCTTCCTAATTTAGATTAGATATTAGGAAGAAGTTCTTCACTGTGAGGGTGGTGAGACAGTGTCCCAGGTTGGCCAGAGAAGCTGTGGCTGCTCCTCCCTGGAAGTGTTGAAGGCCAGGCTGGATGAGGCTTTGAGCAACCTGGTCTAGTGGAAGGTGTCCCTGCTGCTGGCAGGGGGGTTGGAACTGGATGAGCTTTCAGGTCCCTTCCAACCCAAACCATTCTATGATTCTATAATGATTCTACACACCAAGCATCATCCTGTAGGCCCTCATCACCAGAAGAAATATTTCTGTGGATCATGTACAACAGTCAATGAGAAATGAGCTGATACATGGAGAAGCTTCCAGCTGACACCCCACGGAGAGACCAAGAGCTAAATCTTCACATCTACCAACAGGAAGAGCACCAAAGAGTGTTTCTTTCTAGAACTAGACCCAAAACTTAGTGGTCTCAGTATAACTCTGGAGGAGCTGTTGGTGGGAGGCCACCAAGGACAGAAGAACACTGATGGAGGATTTCTCTCGTGGTTTCATGCAGCAGCACAGCCCTCTGCTGCTCAGAGGAACATGGGGTAGGACTGGAGGCTTCACACTGAGGACAAAGCATCTACTCTGCCTGTGTTGGACCCTTCAGAGGTACTTTTTGCTAAACTCTGTGTGTCACTGCTGTCCTCCTGGCTCCTCTCTTCCTACACAGACATCTCTGATCACTCACAGTGTTCCCTTCAAACATCTGCACTGGACAAGCAATCACAGTGGGGTGCCCAGAAAGTCCCCCTCACCTGAACAGGTAGGCTTTCCTTAACACATTGTCTTTTCCACAATATCTTGAGACATCCTCTTTGGGACAATTAACCTAGACATTGAAAGCAGGTAATTAGACATTCAGCTCCACAAATTACTCCAAACATACACTACTACAGTTTTCTTCCATTCAAGAGTGTAAATAGAGCCTTTCCAAACCTGCTGGGAGAAAAAACACAATAAAATGGAGTCTAGAGGTGGGGACTGGAGTTTGTACTTCAGTTCTCCAGCTCAGCCTGTCTTGAATTGGGTCAGAAGGGACCACAATATGCTCAGCATATTCAAAGTGACAGATCAGTGCTTGCTTATTAAACCCAGCCTGTATCTGGAGGAAATCATAGAATCATAGAATGGTTTGGGTTGGAAGGGACCTTAAAGATCATCCAGTTCCAACCCCCCTGCCATCAGCAGGGACACCTTCCACTAGACCAGGTAAATCAAATAGATACACACATGTATGTAAGCACTTCTTATAATCTCATTACACTTGCTTGAATTTGTAATTCCCTCCCCTAAACCTGCATGAAATTTCAGCTAAAAACCCCTTTATATCAAATATTTATTGCACTGAATTGAAAAGAAGTGAAGTGATCCCGTTCATCATCATTTGCAGTTTGAGTTGGCAGGAGGGAGCCATGGTGGAGTCAGGCAAGTCCAACCTGAATGAGACGAGCGGGCTGATGTCCACCTCTGCAGCATGCTGGGGATCATACTCTTCCTTGTGCCATGCCTATGGGTGCACAGCAATGACCAGACAACTCCAAGGACCCCACGCAGCTGCAGGGAGGTCAGATTAGATCAGCCAGCTCAGCCTGGTACGTGGGGTTACCCATGAAAAAGACCAATCTATGGGAAAAATTTGAGTAGCTAAATGTCCCCTAAACACATGAATGCAAATCAAAGTGTACAGGCTCATCTACTGAGACTGAAGATGAGCCAGCAGAGTGCCCAGGTGGCCAAGAAGGCCAAGGGCATCCTGGCCTGGATCAGCACCAGTGTGGCCAGTAGGACCAGGGCAGTGATGGTCCCCCTGGACTGGGCACTGGTGAGGCTGCAGCTCGAGTGCTGGGTTCAGTGTTGGGCCCCTGACTCCAAGAAGGACATGGAGGTGCTGGAGCGTGTCCAGAGAAGGGCAACAGAGCTGGGGAAGGGTCTGGAGCACAAGTGTGCTGAGTTCCCTTGTGGCTGAGGGAACTGGGGGTGTTGAGCCTGGAGAAAAGGAGGCTGAGGGGAGACCTTCTGGCTCTGTCCAAGTCCCTGAAAGGAGGGTGGAGAGCAGTGGGGGTCTTGGTCTCCTCTCCCAAGTAACAAACAATAGAACAAGAGGAAATGGCCTCAGGTTGTACCAGGGGAGATTTAGACTGGATATGAGGAAAAATTTCTTCACTGAAAGGGTCATCAAGCACTGGAACAGGCTGCCCAGGGAAGTGGTGGAGTCACCATCCCTGAAGGTATTTAAAAGATGTGTAGATGTGGTGCTTAGGGACGTGGTTTAGAGGTGAACTTGACAGTGCTGGGTTTATGGTTGGACTTTATGATCTTAAAGGTCTTTTCCAACCAAAGTGATTCCATGATTCCATGATTCTATGATTCTATGAACTAGGAGGCCAGGAACAGCTCAGGGCTGCCCCTGCCTGACCCACAGCATGGTCAGTCCTCTGCTTCGCTGTGTTTTGTGACACAGGCACAACATCGAGCTTCTCTGGGACACAGGAGCCTGTCTGTGTCCCACAGGCAAAAGGTGTGACACAACCCACAAGCAGCAGATATAAGATGTAAGATGCAAGGGATAAAATGGGACACCCTGCTTAGCCAACACCTGCTTTCTTGGGGAGTCCCACTGCTGTCAGTCCCCATGATGGGTTGAGAGAAGCTCTGGCCACCCCACAGGAAGTCCTGCAGAAATAATCTGTCCCACTCCTCATCCCCTTTTACCTTCACCACTGAAATGCCATAATCCTGGAGGGCCTCGGCTGAGTTCTCAATCTGCTCCAAGAAGGGCTGGCCACCAGGAGAAACTGAAACACCAAAAAATCTCAAGATTGTTTCCATCCCTTCTCCTTACGGATGAGGCAGATGAGAGTATCTTCAGGGCAAGCACTGTCTGTGCTCTGGCATGGTAACAGCATGCTAAGGTCCCCATGCAAACATCCCTAGGACATCTGGTTTTGTCAGATGGGTGTTGCTGGGCTGGGCTGCAGGTCCTCAGGGTCAAGAGCATCCTCCTGCCACACACTGGGACAGTGCTTGACACAATACGGTCTTGCTCGTACTCAAGGAGTAAAGTATTTACTGAAACAAAACTTATTACAGGCAACAGTGTGAATGTCTGCAGTCTCCCCTCCTTCCCTTCTAACACATCCAGCCTCTCAATGCTGATGTGGGAGCTGTGGGAGCTGTCTCAGCCAACACCAATGTCTCTGGTGGGTGTTGAAGGGTCATGAAGGAGCAGAACAAGGAACAAGGCCAAGGATCACCTAATTCTTGACAGCCCTTAGTTCCCCTGCATGCAAATGATGCCCCTTTCCATGGGAGGTACCATGGAAGAGAAACCCAACCCCTTTGAGGGCACAACTCCTTAGGAGGTTGGGTTTTTCTTTCATGGTATCTCCAGAAAATAATCCAGAAAAATTAATGAAGAGGTTTGAAGGAATGTGTCTGGGGACACAGCCAGGAAAGATCCCACCCCAAGAGGTCTCTGCCTGTCAGAAGCACTTGGAGCTGTGCAAACACAGATTTCCATCTGAGCTCAACCAGCTCTTCAAAATCACTTTGGGTTTAAAAATCTCAAGAATTGCCTCTTCATTGTTTGACTTTCACACACACCCTCACACAAGCCTTTGCTGAAAAGCCAGGCTGATGGAAATGCATCCTGTTAAATACACACCATGGTGGCTGAAATAAGCCAGGGATGCTCTGCCGGGTTGCAAGCTCCTGAAATACTCCTGGGGGCTCAGCTCCTGCAGCAGCCCTGCACTTCCCCATGTTGGGATGGAGGAAGTCCAGAAGAGCAGGAAAGAGAAGGAAGAAATCCATCTGTCCTTTTGGGCTGACATGGTTGATATCAGCTACAGGCACAGGAGAGTCACAACTGCGAAAAAAATCAAACACATATAAATATATATATACACAAACATATATATGAGAGTCTTCTGCTTAGGGAGGTGCAGCATGACTGTAATTTCCAGATGTGAGACAAACATCTCAAGAACATCATGAATTAGTCACTAGAACAGCAGGTGATTCAGACAACTGTAAAGACAACAGCAAAGGCCATTCTCTTTCCTCTCAGCAGTACCTGCAAGAGCAAGGACCCTCAGTGCTTTCAATTTAGGGTTGTTTTTCTTCCCTCTTCTATTGGGTGTTTTTTTTGAGTCAGACAGAAATCACATGTACAGGCAGAAAACAGTGACAGTATCACAGGGTTTGGGGACTGTCTTTGCTCCAAGATTGCTGGCTGGGGACAGGCTGGGAATTGGTTGGCAGGTGGTGAGCAACTGCCCTGGGCATCACTCATTTGGATATTCAATTATGATGATGATTTCAATTAGTAAATTGTTTTTATCTCAACCCACAAGTTTTCTTACTATGACCCTTCCAATTCTCTCCCTGGGTGGGGGCGAGAGTGAGAGAGCGACTGTGTTTGGCTGCAGCCAAAGGAGTGAAACCAGCACACCACTTCATTCCAGGTTAATACCAGGTTCCTTCACAACCTGCTCTTCAGGTGTTGGTCTTTGCTGCTGAGTGTGATGGAGCATGGGGTCAGTCCCTGGTCAACAAAGAGACAAAGCTGGAATTGAAGCCATGTAGAAGCTGTTTGCTTTGCATCATGAGCTGCAGCTGTTTCCATTAACAAATGCCCCTGTGTCCATGGACTGTCATTCCCTCCAGCACCCCGTCAGATGCTGTCAGCTTATCACCACTGCTCTGTGACAAACCCAAACTCAAATGCTCAAAAACAAGGAGGCAAAGTCCCTCTGCCTTGGTCCAAGAGTGAGGAGTTGGTGACAGCCAGGCACGCTCAACCTTCTCATGGAGGTGAGGTGTTTGGATCAGGCCTGGATAGCACAAAGGAACAAAGACAGAGCTGAGAAAGGCAGGAATTTGTTTCTTCTCATCTAAAAAGCTCCTGTTCTCTCCTTCCCAGGCTTTCTGATCCTTTGTCCTCCCATCTGATCCTCTGGCTTACAGAGAGGACAGAGATTGGGGCAGGAGGGGTGATGATTATTAAATGACAAACTTGTCTACAGCAGGATGGAAAAAGAAATTCAGTCCTGGCTTGTGGGAACCAGCCCAGGTCAAATGGGAGAGCTCACTGACAAGGAGGTAAGAGGAGCAGCCTCCAACGACACAGAGATTCTAGATTGGATATTGGGAAAAATGTCTTCATTGAAAGGGTTCTGAGCCATGGGAAGGGGTTGCCCAGGGCACTGGTGGAGTCCCCATCCCTGGAGGTGTTGACATAGTGCTGAGGGACATAGTTTAGTGTTGGACTTGTCAGTGTTGGGTTCATGGTTGGACTTGATGATCTTAGAGGGCTTTTCCAACCACAATTCTCTGATCCCCCCATCAGGTCTTTGGCCAGGACACGGGGCTGCATACCCCGGGTTGGGGATGCTCTGAGCCCAATCCCACCGGTGGGATCTCTCAGGGTGGGATGTTCCCAGCACAGCCTGTCCCTAACATGGGGCTCCTTCTATTCCAGGTGTCAAAAGCAGCAGCAGATCTGATGGCGTACTGCGAAGCTCACGCCAAGGAGGACCCTCTATTGACCCCTGTCCCGGCCTCAGAAAACCCTTTTAGAGAGAAGAAGTTCTTCTGTCATTCTGTGATTCAACAAAGAGTAATGTGGGGTGGTTTTAGAGACTCACAAGACAAGGAAAAACCACTGTCCTACTGGAAGCCTGGACTTCACAGTCAGTCAGGTCCCATCTCCATCCTCCATGGGTGGAACTCAGGAGAAACGCCACCAACCTGGACTTAAATGCAGGTGATGTACAACCTCCCACATCCCTCAGCAGGGTATTTTCCTCCTGGTGATCCACTACCTTCTTGCAAAAAGCCTACACTTTATGTCTGGTCTATATATGTTACACTGCTGCTGCCCCTTCATTTTCTCTCATTATATCAGTATTTTCCAGCCTGCAGAGCCCTCAGCTGGTAAGTTTTAATTAGATGTTCCTAAACCAGGAACATGTAGGATGCTCCTAAATGGTGTCACTTCAACCTCTCCTGTGATGATTGACACAGATCAGGCTTTTTTGTTGCAGCAGGACATTCACCCCACACCCAGCTGGTACAGGTTTTTGGCAGCACACTCACCTGCCTTTCATGCCCCCGTGGCAGCAGTTCCTCAGCACGCTGCCTGCCCAAATTTGCTGGCAGAGAGGACACGTAACAGCCCCCAAATCCATACGGGGCTGACTCAAACCTGTAGCCATCACAGATTAAACAGGCTGAAGAGTTCTCCCTGGCATGGCTGGATGCCCCAGCACAAATATACCTCCTGCTGCTGCTGCAAAATGCAAAGGAGAGCGTAACACTGATGGATTTTCTTGCACTTTGGACCATGCACACAGGTTTCCTTTAGGGAATCCAGAAAAACTCCCTGAAAAGCTCTTTGCTCCAGCCTCCTGCTCTGTGGATCCATGTGAATCCCTCCAGACATGCACCACTGCCTGACCAGCAACCCCTTCCCAGCTGGCTCATCTGAAGATGGAAGCTTTCCCAACACCTGTACTGTCTGCAAACTTATTTTCTCCTGAAGAGATGATAAATTGGCTCTTCAGGGGCAAGGAAAACATCCTTGGGATCCCACTGAACCATATCTGGATGATGCTGACTCTCCAGTGAGAACCCGGAGTTTGGGGAATCATGGTTACAATGATAGTTACAATAGGCTGAACAACCCCAACTCTCTCAGCCTGTCCTCACAGCAGAGCTGCTCCAGCCCTCGCATCATCCTGGTGGCCTCCTCTGGACTTGTTCCAGCTGCTCCAGGTCTCTCTTGTGATGGGGGCTCCAGAACTGGACGCAGTATTCCAGGTGGGGCCTTACGAGAACGGAGTGGGGAGTTAATAGAAAGAAACTAATAGACTTCTGTTCAGCCTGGAAAGAGAAGGCTCTGGAGAGATCTTATAGCGGCCTCCCAGTACCTGAAGGGGCTACAAGAAAGCTGGGGAAGGACTTTTCTTAAGGGCAGTTAATGACAAAACAAGGGGAAATGGGTTTAAGCTGAAAGAGGGGAGGTTTAGATGAGATATTAGGAAGAAGTTCTTCACTGTGAGGGTGGTCAGACACTGGAACAGGTTGGCCAGAGAAGCTGTGGCTGCTCCTCCCTGGAAGTGTTGAAGGCCAGGTTGGATGAGGCTTTGAGCAACCTGGTCTAGTGGAAGGTGTCCCTGCTGCTGGCAGGGGGGTTGGAACTGGATGAGCTTTCAGGTCCCTTCCAACCCAAACCATTCAATGATTCTATGATTCTATTATATACCCTCCTTGATTTCCCTTTGTTGCCTTCCCACTATTATCACAAAGCAGCATTTTGTTATAGAACGCCTAAAAATCATTTAATCTCAGGTGAACTCATCACCTGTCAAACCATAGTTGAATGTTATTTGCTTTGTTACATTGCACTGTTGAGTTCCTTCTTTTTTTTGTTGTTTTCTGTTTGTATTTTGGTTTTGTTCTTTATTTGAGAGAAGGGATCTGGACTAGGGACATACACAAGAGTTCTAAAACCCACTCTCATTCCCATTTATCTTTCTAGATTATTTAAAAAAAAAAAAAAAAGTTAAAGTTGTGAAGTTTTAAAGAAAAAAAGCTGTTTTCACCATGTGAAACTGTTACTTCACTGCCTGGGGCAGGGGAGGTTTGTCCTGCAGGTTTTTAGATCATCAGAACACGCAGCCCCAAGTCACATGCCTGACAATTGTTGACATCTACTGCTGACAACTGCTGAAATATTGCTTGACATAAGCAATATTTAAGCCCTTTTTTTTTCCCCCTGGGTGAGGTTATGTGTTAGTTTTACAGAATCCTACAGCTGCCCAGCAATAACCACACTTCCCTACGTTAAGTGGGTCACAGAACCCCAGAATGGTCTGGATTGGAAAAGCCCTTTAAGATCATCAAGTCCAACCATGAACCCAACACTGACAAGTCCCCTATGACTAACCCATGTCCCTCAGCACTGTGTCTACACGACTCTTCAATCCCTCCAGGGATGGGGACTCCACCACTGCCCTGGGCAACCCCTTCCAATGCCTCACAACCCTTGCAGCAAAGAAATTCTTCCTCACATCCCATCTCAACTGCCCTGGCCACAACTGGAGCCCATTTCCTCTTGTCCTGTCCCTTGGGCCTTGGTTGAACAGACCAACAGATAGATAACACATTATTTTGCATTTTTTTCACTACATGCTCCCCTTCCCTTCTCATCTTTGAAAAAGTGGCCAGCACTAGCCTTTTCCTAAGCAGCAGACAAGTCAGGTTAATTATCACAACCCCAGTTTTGCTGGAACAGAGTTAAACCCAGCTCCTTTCAAATTTTCCAAAGGCAAGTTCTTTGACCTGGCTGACTTGAATAATCACAGAATCACAGAATGTTGGGGATTGGAAGGGACCTCAAAAGATCATCCAGTCCAACCCCCCTGCCAGAGCAGGAACCTAAATGAGATCACACAGGAAGGTGTCCAGGTGGGTTTTGAATGTCTCCAGAGAAGGAGACTCCACACCCTCCCTGGGCAGCCTGTCCCAGGGCTCTGTCACCCTCACTGGAAAGAAGTTTCTTCTCAAGTTTAAGCAGAAAAGGTCAAAAAGCTGCAGTTCCCCAGCAGTGACAGCACTGAGATGGTTCTCCACCACTTCGGGATGGGTCTGCAATCATGGAATGAAATACCTGCTCACTTTTTCCACCCACCCCTTGTTCCCAGCAGCCTGGGGGGGACACAGGGGTTCCAACCTGCAAATGCGAGGTCCCTACAGCCGTGTCCCCACATCATGTGCTGTGACCCTACAGCTGCAAGAAGATGTTTCCACCTACACTGGACACTCCAAG